TGCAAGGAGAACAGCACAAAAGATATATAGAATTCTTTCACGGAGGAGATCCCAATAATTTTATAAAACAGCAAGCGTAGGATCAACTCAAGAAAGAATTATGCAAAAAGAACTGGATTGCATTAAGGTATGTTTGGTATTATGAAGATCCGTATTTAGTTATTTCTGAGCATTTTCGTGAATTGGATCTCATTGAATAATCATAAAAACTTTAATTATATTTGTACAATTTATTTTTTTAAATGCGCCCGAATCTGGAGTAAAAAATCGCATAACTGCGCGACCTTAGGTCTCACAATTTCACAGAAAAATTATTACATTTTTACATATATAGATTTGTGATCGATTTCGAAGTAGCATAGCACAATACATTTTCCAGTTATTGATAAGCAGTAGGTAAAAAAAAACGCTTAATAATTAAAAGATAAACCAAACAGCAAAACAACTTGCTAAAACCAAGGCTACAATATTGCGTGAATTCCCTTAATGAATATTAAATACTGCTGTGATGGTACATTACACAAGGAGGAAGTTCAGCGGAATAGGATCAGGAAGGTTTTGAGGGATTTGGATAGGGGCTTCGAATTATGATAAAGACAGCTTAACGGTATGTTAATGATACATTGACCTTGCAAAATATTCAATGCTATTCTAGTGCCATTTTGTGTTCCAAATTCGAACTAATAATCGCATATACTGTGCATTAGAGATTTTTAATATAATAAAGTAAATCACTGTAATTTAACATTACCATAGTTCTAGCCGGAATATTGTTTCTAGTTCTTCTATCTGATACACAGTAGTGCCAAGCCTGCAATTAAAATATTCAGAATATTGTACAAATAATACAAATAATATGAATGCTACACTGCATAAATATAACTCACCCTCATACGGACAGAAACTTGGCCTTGGGGAACTGGATCTATTTTTACAATAATACAATCATGGGCACGACCAAGACTCAACCAATATTTCAAGGCTTCTTCAACGTGATCTAATGTTTCAGTATAGGCCACTTCCACTACCAAATTTGGCCAAGGATTATCCTAAATAAAAAAGGTATATGAAATTACTAGCTTCAAAAAGTTCAAAACCAATAAAAGAACAGAAATTACATTTCCATCGCTCCTATTTAGCGTAGTTACAGCTGGCTTTTTTGGACAAAACGATGCATCAGCTTCTTTTTCACAGTTTCTGTCACGTATTCCTTTAAAAAATAAAAGTTAATACGATGCACACACAAACAGAGCAATGTGTTATAGCATAATACTTACTAGTAGATCCAATACTATAAATCTGAAAAGGTGTCCCTTTAACAGGTCTACAAGCATCCATTATTTCTTTGACAATTGCACTGATGCCAATTTCGTGTGGCATAGAAGGAACTTCATAGATTACGATATTTCCTTCTACCCACTCCCAACAACTATGTATATTAAATTTTTTTGTACGTTCTTCATAATCTTCTATGGTGATATTCGTAGCAAGCACATAAGGTAATCTTATATATATGAATAATAATTTATATCAGCCACTAAAACAAATATCAACGTCAAATAAGAGACTTACGTTACTTCTTCCCACTTTGCTTTTTCGCTAAATTCTCCCTTGTCTCACCACAAGTTTCGATAAAAGAAACAATCTGACATTCGTTCTGGAACTGCATCACTACTCCTAAGAGTATCTCCGAAAGATTAGCGAAAAAATAAGGAGTAATAGTTGCATATATTTACTTACACAGAACTTGTCCTTGTTCTATTGAGCTAATACTGCTAAAAGCTGGCATTTGACGAACTGGTATATAATGACATTTTGTTGTTTTTGGAAAGATTGTTTTTGATAACGGAAAAGATTTAAAAAGAAGATAAGCCAACTTTACTGATTAAATTTGCATCACACAATTAATACTGTACCCTCATGTGATAATTTCCCTATTGTGTGATGCATTACACAAAATGCCAGCGCTATACCCGTTATACTAATGATGTGAAAAATGCATCTATGGTTATTAATAGTTACCTTCGCAAAGGTGAGTTTGTTGTATTTGATCTAACTAGGCCAGAAGATGATCTCCTTGCAATCCGCCTAAGGTTTGACACTCCACTAAATCTGCAGAAGGAGATAGAGGTGAGGCAGAAGCGTAAGGAAAAAAGTACTCAAGCTAATTCATGCAAAGCGCCTCTTGGTTAATTTTCCTCCAAAAAAAAACATGTGACATCCTGATTAATGGTCAGCAACTTTTGTCAAGAAAAGTTTTATTATCTAATGCACATTCCTCACATAAAAAAATATGGATGAATATGTAAAATAATAATATTTAACCACCAGGGTCACTTTATTGATACAGAAAAAATAATAATAAATTTACTACATATATAATCCTATATATTCAGAATCTACATTTGAACTACCTTTATTTCTTTTGGATCTAACTGAGGGTGCGTTAAGTAGTAAAGACATATTAACTATTAGAATATTTTATAAAATCAGTAAAGTTTTTACGAAATTTATTATGAGGGATAGATCAGATAGTTGTACAGGAATTTTTGCTTCGTAAAGATGGTAATAACGATGAATATTTTCCATATCTCTAATGAGAACATTTAAGCGCATTATTCATCTGGCAATTTGCATTCCAATAATTCTGAATTCATCTTTATCTGGTCCAGATAATTTATGAACCCAGTACATTTCATCATTAGTTTCACGCCATAATTTTATTTCATCATCAATTTCCTTCTGTGATATGCAAGACAAGCGTGAACTTTCAACATATATGAGCTCGTATTTTTTTCCATCATATTTCATCACAAACATGATATCTGGCCATCTTTCTATTTGCCCTTCGCCTTTCCTATCTACACTAGCTGAACTGTGATATTCAGCACTAATAGAAGAAGAATATTAGTGACAGTCTAAGTTTTCGAAATATCACTTTTTCTAATTATATTATAACTTACGTGCTGACATAAGATGACCTTCCTAAAGGAAGATCTTTTAATGTGACCTGAATAACAGGTACAATTACATTTATCATATAAGTACCTTCATTTTGTGATTTTGTGAACTCAGAACTAAATGCAGGATTATTTCATGAATCATTTAGAGAACCCAAAATTCTTGATATGACCTTTGTAAGCTCTTCATCTGATTCTTTTTATTCCCCATTATGCGAAAGTTTTTGTGGTAAAATGTTCATATCACTCTCAATAAAGCTAGCCACAAATTCTTCGCATTTTTC